GAATCCACCAACACGGGACAGCAAGTTGACTGCCCAAGCAGGATTTCCTAAGTAATCATCTATAATCCACCAGAATGACTACTAGGCTGATTAATTATTGAGGGGGGTTGGCAGATTTGATTAATTTGTTGACCAAATTGTGAAAAAACTCGCGGCCTTCAGCGGGATTTGAACCTGCATAGAAGGGAAGGCCTTCTACGCAAGCCAACGCTCTACCTACCTGGGCTACGAATGCCACGCTTCATATCGTGAGTTCAATCACGCTTGGATCGATATTACCCGAACAAAGTTCTTTCGTGTTTTTGCCGTGATCTCGGCGGCAGCTGCCGCAACGTCAAAAATTTAGTTCAGTATATTCGAGTATATCCAGGATAATGGGCAAAACCGATTTGTTGGGCCCCTCTAGGTAAATATCTCCCCACAAAACCGCTTAACGTATTTTGCGGCCAAACATTTAATTCTCGGCTACTGAGCATAAAGTAATGTGTTATTGTGCCGGAAATGATCAAAAAATAATAAATTAAATAAGATTATCTTCGTTTAAATATGCTTAAATAGAATTAAATTCGATCAACAAGAACATCTGTTGCGCAGGTTACGAATGCCAATTAAGGGAAATTCGAGCTTATGTAGGCGAATTTAATGAAAATGGAAATTCGTCCTCCTATTGGTTGAATTTAACGAAAAAGAAATCAAAGTCGGGCTACGCACCATGCAAAAGTAGTCTTTGGTTATAAGTCTACGGGATTTTCGCGGCCTCTATGATCAGTTCTGCCTAAAATAGTTAACAATATATACACATGTACACAATTTTTGACAATGAACTTTCCGCAGAGTAATCCTGAGGATCGTAGATAAATTTGCCAAATTGCAGACACTTTGAACGTGTGTCGACTACTACTAGAAATATTCGGTTGAACGGTGGGCCAGCGAAGACTGTATTGATCTTAGTCCACCATCAATGCACCTGCGACCATATTATGGGTGGTACATTGACGAGTTCTTAGCTTCAGGTCCACATGGATCACAAGTTCTACCGAAAGCTTCCACAAAGTCATCAATTCCTGGCCAATATCCTTACCTCCGGACCACCTTTTTCAAGTGGTCATTACTTGTTGTCCGGTGTGTACTTCACTTAAAATTAGCCGAAATAACGACTCTACCATCATACATAATGCATTCTTCGTTGATGTATAACCACTCCTTCCGGTTCCTGAAGGGCTTTATAGCTGGGTAAATCTTAGGCCAACACTTTTGCATTAACTTCTTCACGTGGCCGAACAGACGGCCCGCTGTGGTGTTCTTGTCCTGATGTGTACGTCTCTGAGGGACACCTTCCAGATGACACTTCTGTATTCTTTGTCGTTTTGTGTCAGAATGCTTGCGACGACCACATCTTTCCGATGTTCGTCGCCCTCGTTCAGTCGTGATATAGCGTCCCGAGCTCAGAACTTCTGAGTGAACACCTACTGGATTGTGAATTAATGACCCAGGAGGACAGTACTCCATCGTTGTATGCCCTTGGCCACGTACTGCGGCACGCCATTACTCATGGCTAGTAAAAACTTGAGTGGTTGGTAATTATTTGAAGGGCATAATGTCTCCGATAAATGAATAAAGAGATCTTCTGTACTGTAAATATGGTTGCCGGTACGTCTCTTTCGATTCGAAATAAGTTCGTTCTGACTTTGGGAATAACCGTGTGATATGCAGCAAGCGCAAAATATTTCCGTTTGAACCCTTCTGATGAAAGCCACCTAGGCCATACTCCGATGCATCCGGCCGAATGATTAGTTCTGTATCGGATTCCGAATGTGAGAGAACTTCTAACTCGCTAACCTCCGCCTTCATGGTATCAAAGGCTCACTGACGGTCGGTGAAATTTCGTATCCTTGCGAAGTAGTCGGTTTATTGGTGGTTTTAAATCGTGTAGGCCCGCAATAAATTGAGAGGAGTAGCTAATCAAGCCTATACATGCTTGTAATTCCCTAAAATTACGTCAATTTCACATTGTTAAATGACACAACCCACTCTGGGTCAGGCGAACGTCTTCCCCGCCAGCACCTACATCACGAACGACCATGCATGCCATCACACAACACACGTTTGCAAACAATACATTCCACATGAGAGGAAAGTATGATCCTCGAATAAAACCCCACGTGGCACCTCTGCTGAGACTATCACGCTGTACCGTGGCTTGGACGGTAAGTGACACGATGTCAGCAGCTGCGTTCACTCTCCATAGCAGTCCACTGACCAATTTGGACGGTGGCAGAGGCGACGGCTCAGTGCATTTTCCTCCCCATAAACAATCTGACACACTTGAAGGTATTATGGTACGTGAAAACATGTAACTTAGAAAGTGCCTAACAAACTATTGAACTGAGACAGCAGTCGGCTAGGTGGGTGGTTGAGTGGGTTGCGAATCAGGCTGCAATAGCTCCTTCTTTATGAGGCCTTTATTGCACTTCCACCCCGTGTTTTGCGAGCCAGACGGCTCCGACCGTGTCAGTCCTCTGTCGCCTCCACCCTTCTTGACAGGGTCATGAAGAGAGTGTAGTCTAATTATGAGCTAT